TGTTACTATAATCCTTACAGCTAGAGCGCGGATATGAATAGATTAAAGTACATGAGTTGCACCATAGTCACCTAAAGGTTTAAATTCAAAAATGGTAAACCAGTTAGAAATTATAATTGAGATTATTAGATTAACATTATAAATATCAGAACTTGAAAGTGTTAAGTTGAAAAAGGGAATATTATTTACCTAGATGCATTCCTTAGTATTTAAACTATATATTAAATTATATTTATATTTGCTAAATTTTTTCTCATTTTTTCATGAAGCGAATCCGAAACGTCTTCTAATAAATACTTTATATGTATATATTTTATATTTCCCATTATATTCTATAGAAAGAATTAATAAGACCCGAGACTACATAGTTTTTCGGTTATTTTTTTTAAATTTTTTTTTATTTTTGTAACGTTCATACTTTTATATCGGATTTTAACAGAGAGTACTTATAGGTCTTAAAAAAAATAAAAACAAAAATTGGGGTTGCGATTGCTGCGTTACCCTTTCGAAGTAACTCGTGCAAGAAGTTATATTTTTATGTGCCTGTTGCATGCTTCCCGGCCATAATCCTGTCGTTTTACCAACTTAGGCACTCGGTTAGACCAAATGCTATGGCTGAGTGTTTTTGTCACTTAATTTTTCATGAATCATATGTCAAATATTTTCTACTTGTTTTATTTATTTATTTTTTTTTGGCTTGTTCTTGATAGCAAAATTAGTTTATGTCTAAAATAAGTAAAAAACTTCGTCATTTTAAGTTTCTATAAATTTTATAAAAAATGCAAATTTAATTCTGTTAAGTGGTTTCGAATAAAACTCTTAAGGGTTTAACTATTTATCCCATTTAATAGTAAATTTTTTATGATAGTTCAGGAATTTGAACAAGTGCATTTCAATAAATTATTATCTTTCTGTGCTTAAGTCTGTGTTAGACTTAAAATAATTAAAAGTATTTGGGGTTTTATAGAGCCAACTACTTTTACAATATAAATATATTTGCATTAATGTCTTTTTTCTTATCTCCCTGTGAAATAACTTAAAATGTTGTAATAAATTTGGTATCTAATAGTGATAACTAATGTTTATTACAAAAATTTTATTATTACTAATTTATATTGATTATATAATAAAATAGTAATATAGTTTCAATTTAAATTGCATTATATTTGATGTCAGCTATACCGAAGATTTGCAAACTTCTCTTCTATTTTTTTTATAATTGTTTAGGTATCTTAATTCTAATATTATTCTAGCCGGTTATACAACCACGTTTTTGATATTTCTAACTACTGTAGCCAGCAACTTAGGCTTAAGCAATATGTCTAGTCTCTCTAATACATTGGTTTCTAATTGGTGGACTGCGAGATAGTTAAAAATGGTCTGTGAATCAAATTAAACAGGTATGATCCATAGCTTGTAGTTTGACCACTAAAACCTCACTTCTTAGAATATAAACACAAAAAATATATAGGCTATAAAATAGCCTAACTATGCACTTATACAATTATACAATCATTATAAATCATATCAGAGATTAATAAAGCATATTAAAATATTCATGCAGTTCATTATTCTTAAACTTTGTGGTCCTTAGTCAAAAAAAGGTTGGAAACCACTGCTCTGATATATATTACGATAAGGTTTATCAGCATTAATTTTTGTTCTTTTGTTTTAGTAGGATGAGTCTATTTATTCTGCGGGTTCCTGAAATTAATAATTTTACTGCTGCCGTCATCGGTTATTGGATATTTTTTTAGAATTGTGATTAATTTAATATCACTTAGCATATACTATTTTACAAATGTGTTCTACTGATATAAGAGTTTTTGTATAAAAATATGAATTGGAAGTTTCATATAAATTTTTTTGAAAGAACTTTTTGATACCCTCCCTTCTTATAAATTCGATGCTCAAAAGCATCTTGATGTCGAAATGTTATTCTATCTTCTTAAATAGGTTGTTTCTTTAATGTACTACAAATTAAGTGATTTCTTAGTATGTGTCCAGATTAACTAAAGTCTTATATTACTGAACTCGTATAACATCTCAAAGTCAATACTTGTAAATATTTAAGAATGTTTAGAACTTTATTACGAACGCTTATTAAACAAATTTATGAAAGCTTTATAACCAGTTAGTAAAAATGCCTGAATTATATTAGCATATAGAAATTTGGGTTATAAATTATAATAGTCTTGCGTGAAGTAAGGTAATGTTATCATTGTATTTAAAACAGTACTCTTACGTGTAGTAATTTAGAATATCTATATAGTGTGTTTGTGCACTGTTACATTATTCTGGAATTCAAAACACGCAAACATAATCTAGTAATTTAATAGAACGCAAAGCATAGCTACTGCATCGACGACAGAATGCAAAGAACTTAAAAAAAATTATAATTATTATTAATATTTATATTTATTAACTAACTAGTATGGGTAAACGAAGCAACTTATTGAATAATACAACCTAAAAACATTTATTAAAGTTTATAGTTTAGATTAGATAGATGACTCTACCGCAATAACGAATAATTGCATTTTCTAGACTTCGTTATTTTTGGACTACTGCTACAGTTAGTAATATTAAACTTAGTACGAGTACCTTCTAGATTATAACGCACTGGAACAACTGCACAACCACTATATAAATTATATGTTCTTCTTCTCCTTAGTATCTTCTAAGCTTCATAGTATTGAGTATTTTAAAATCGTCGTGTGGGGAATGAACTTCTTCAGCATATCAGTGTTAACTGTATAATTTACTTATATTTTACTTCAGTAATTTTAAATCAGTAAACCACAAAGAGTTGTAGAACAATTTTGCCCCAATAACAACCACTAGAGAAGTGATTTGAACTACAGTCATTCCCGATTATTACCATAGGAGTGATAGACCTAAGAAGAGACTTAACCCAAAAATAATATTGAGGTCACTAATATTGAATGTTACATTTGACATTTATGTTTATAAGTATGAAATGAAATTTCAATCCAATATTTTATGGGTTATTCAAAAAATTGAATAACCTTATTTTCGTAGTAGTTTCAGAACAGAAGAGCTTACTTCAGCGTTTAATAATGTATTATATCCTTGGTATTATGTTCGTTGAAACTTACTGTCTCATTTCTCCAAAAAATTTTCAAAGCATCTTAAAAATGAATCTGTTCTAATCAATTTAATTATTTTTTTTAATTGTTCTTTCAACTCAGTCCAAAAAGTCCATTATAACAGTTACTGAAAAAGGTGAGAGCAATAAATTGAAGCGAACTAGTTCAATGATATATTTCTTTCTTAAAACAACCTTAGCATTATAGGATCTACATTATTATAGACATATAATTGATTTTGCTTTGATTTGTATCGAATGTTTTAAAGTTAAGCTTAATATATGATTATGATTAAAATCTGTATACCATTGGATAGACATAAAAAGAGGGTATGTATTACTGAGAAAATGTGAGGGAATAAATTATTGAAAAACAATTTCCAAAATTAAATTTTAAATAAAATTCTTGATTCTAAAATTAAATTAAAAATTTGATTTTTGAATTTGATCATTTTCTCACTATCTCACTATACCATCTTTTTAAAATTTTTGAATTTGATAATTTTCTTACTATTATCTCCTTTTCTATTTGAAATAAAATTCTGCTCATACAACATTAAATTTGTAATTAAAGTTGGGCATATGTTGTTCATGTCTGTATCTCGCTTAAGAGTCCGATAATATACATAACTGTTAAAATAAACTTTCAGAACGCAAACAATCTGCAAAAGTACGCAAAAACAATAGTGTTTATAGTGAAAAAACCACACTTTGCACTACTTTAATAAATTTATATAGCTGTGGTTTATGCTTTTTCTAAAAATTGTGTTGTAAGCGAAAGTTCGTTTATGAATAAGCAACTAAAATTGACAAAACACGAAAAATGAATAGCCAAAATTAAGTATTCGTTGCCACTACTACAGTTAAAAGTTGACAGAATTAAAGTCCTAACTGTTGTAGTCTAAAAAATTGTATAAGGTCAATTAAGCCTATAGATGTTTAAGTCATTGCCAATAGCCAATAGGTGTATTGGTAATTAATTCAATACGTCTGACGAAACTTGAATAGCCCAAATTAAGTTTTCGTTGCCAAGACTACAGTTAAAAATTGACGGTTAAATCCCTAACAGTTGTAGTCTAAAAAATTGTGTAAGATCAATTAAGCCAATACATGTTTAAGCCATCGCCAATAGCTAATAGATGTATTAGTAATTAAGCCAATACGTCTGATGATGAATATTTAACAGAATTTAAATTTAAAAAATATTAAATGACCAAACAGACTTAATTATAAATATAGTTATGTTTCAATAAAATATATCTATTAAAATAAACACTGAAAAATAAATATTTGAATATTGAATAAAGCCCGGCAAAATTTAAATACATAAAATATAACTTAAAAAATTACTTACAAAGTACATGCTTTAATTTCAAACTCACCGGCAATCAGTACTTCATTTAATTTGAATGTACGCATTAAAATTGTTAACAGCCAAAGTGCCATATGACAGCATTAAGAATGAGAAACAAATAGAAGCACACTGCGTATAAAACACTTCAAAAAACTAAGATTCAATATACGCATTAAAATTGATAACAGCCAAAGTGCCATATGACAGCATCAAAAATGGGGGAAAAAAAGAATTACACTGCGTGTACAAAAACAAAGATTTATTTCATAAAAAATGTTGAAGTAAAAACGATCGCAAAAAACCAAAGTTGTCTTTTAAAGTATATTTTATATTAAATTTTTTATAAAAGATGATACGTATACGTATAATTTTGTTGGTAATTCGATACTTCATTCGCTTTGAAAACCTCAATTAATCTTGCTTTTAGCATCTTTTGTGATTTTTATTTGTAGTGCCCTAAATTAAATATATCAATCAATTTATTCAATTCTTTGCTAAGTTTAATATGATAAATCTTTTGTGTTGTTCCTTTTCCAGGTTCCATATCACCAGAAGACAAAGTTTGTCTAAGCGAGGAATGTGTACGGACAGGTAAGGGATACGTTAAGCAATCCTAACCAGGTAACTTTCTTGTCAAAAACATGCACACACGTAATTTTTTATTTGTTTTTCTTTCTTTTTTTTTTACAAACCTTAAGTTATCGCAAATATTCTACAATAGACTCATTCACTCATTCATTCACTTACTCATTTTTATCTTAACAATATCAAAATTCCATTCACACATTCTCAATCTGACAACAACTTTTGTACGTACGAGTATAATAAGAATTCCCTAAAAAAGTATTCCAAAGTTTCATTCAACTCGTGACATAATAAGGTTGGCTTGCCTCTTCATCCTTTTATTGAAATGGTTATGTGACAAAATCCAACAGATTCTATAACGTTTGTGACCATTGTTCCCTTGATGGGAAAAACTTATCTGCCGGCAAAATGTAATAGAACCAACAATAATAAGTAAGCTAATACACATACATAGTACGCAGGACTGTTCACTAGTCCTATAATGTTAATAAATATAGTATGTAAAATAACAAAACGGCAACAACAATAGACAACAACAACAATATAGAGCAGAGTATCCATTGTTATCAGCCAAGTTAGTTAAAATATTTGAAAACGCTTGTCCATTTTGATATTCATTTGGTTGGCGATGTGCATTATTATGAGTGGAACATCGACTGGCTTGTTGGATGCGGATGATGGGATGTGGTTGAGTAGTTGTATGGAAAAATATTATGACATGAGCATAAAAAATTTGTAATTTCCCTCGAACAGTAGCATGGAACATTTGGCATTGTTACGTATGTGTCACTGAAAATTATGCACATCCCAGTCTGAGCACCCAACTTTTATCATTTAATCGAAGGCTTTGAAATATTTGAAATTTAAACTTGAAAGCAAAGGAAATTGGATAATTTTTTTGATAACTTTTTAATTTCTTTTGTTTTATTTAATTTTTTTTTTCTCTTTTTTTTTTACTATTTTCTCGGAGTATAGTTGCACACTTTAAATCTATGCCAGACTTAAACGCCAAGTCGTAACAAAGTTGGTTTGGTTTTGACACTAACTTTGACCATAAATTTTAAAAGGAATTTAATATTGTAGTAAATCCTTAAGTTTTCTTTGTTAGTTGTATTCAAAGTTGCAAGTTCTACTTGCAACGCTTGAATGAAAGTTGAAAAAACCGCAACGCGGAAAATCAAATGGCGGATTGCACCTCCGAGTAAGCAGGCAAACTTTTTCCTCAACTTGGAGTCTCGATTGCCACATCAGTAGCAGGAATAGCAATAAAAATAGTCACTAAAAGTAAAACTTTTACAATATGCAATACCCTCCCGATAGTGCTGTCATTGGAAGTAGTCCGCTTCACTTCTGATAACTAGCTAATTTCACCTCTATGTTAGTTGCACAGAGCAGGGCAGTACAAAGTTAGTAGCTACTTTAATTAAAATATTAAATTAATTATTGTCTAAAAGGGGTGCTAGAAGGAAAAACATCTACATTACAGAAATACTATTCAACATCAGGGCATAGAATAAAAGTTCAACTGATGAAACAAATTCAAGCAGTTAATTTATGTAATATATATTAAAAAGTTTCTAATTGTATTTAGTTAACTTGTTTTGTTTAAAGTTTAACAACCTATAATAAATGACCATCAATATTGCAAAAAAAAAACAAATAACAGTTATATATGTCCTACTACATAAGTAGACTAAGTCCAATAATTTTTTCATGTGACATTATAACTTGGCATTCACACTAATAGAAATCATATTACTGCCAATAGATACAAGTTTTTTATTGTGACTTTTTAATTGTCATAGAAAAGAAAGTTAATAAATGTGATTGTAGGTATTAAAAAACATTACTACATTTACCAAATTCAATGATAGACACAAAGCATTTAATTATACCTAGGTCAGAAAATGTCATATTAATCAATGGAATATACAAAAACAAAGGTATAACTAGTGATCCTAAAAGATCCACTTATGCTTATGGTCCCATTGTGTTGCCGTATAGTTACAAACTCAAGGGTTAGAACCATTAAGAATCTTTGGCAAAGCTTATAATGCTATTTAGAGGGAGATCTTGCAGTTCGCCAAGATCCTCAAAAAAGAAGCCCCTAAAGTGGTGAGGTGGCTCTGCGATTGTGCTGGACAAAAACAAAACAGATGGGAGGCACGTTCATCGTTTTATACACATTTGCGGCAGGTATGGTTAAAAGGGAGATTTAGTCTCCTAGCATGGTTACCTAAACTACAATGATCTGTAAGTAAACCTATTACAAGACTGATATCTCTACAGGGTGTATAAACCTCGAAATGTTAGTGTTACTTACTATTATTACATATTATTTATTTAATTCTAATTTAAAGAATTTTATTTTACTTGAATTTAATTAAAATTTTTTTAATTTTTTAAATACAAGGAATATATGGATTTAACAATTAATTTATATGAACTCTATCTTATGCCAATAGATTAACTTTATTCTTGTTAATCCAATAAAATCCCAGTTCAATTTGTTTCTTTCATATACACCTGCAGGAAAGGGGTTAGAATATTTCTGAGGTGAAGCATGCCTGTCGTAAGATGCGACTAAAATTCAGTAAGATTTACTCGGGGGAGTAAATCTTGTATCATGAGGACAGAACCTACAGCTTCAACTATCCTATTTAATAGGTGATGGCTTTGGTTAAAATCTAGAATTAAGTGAGTAGAATGGCTGTATTAATATACTTTTATTCGATTGCATTTTCCTACTGCGTACTGTAAATTAAAAAATTGCAAAAGTGTTAGATAGGACTCGCTGCCTCACAAAAAGAAAATTTTGAAGCGTATAGCTTTAACTGGTGCCAGCAGAATTCCTTGCTATTCCTTGGGGGCGTTTATTAACGCATATACTGATACGTGTCTTAAAAGCATTGTGATGTTCAGTCTTTAGTCTTCATGCCAGGTAATCGCGTTTAAACCCTATATAGTCTATTTCTTTCATGTGTTGTGTGGATACTGTTAGAGATGTGTCTGCTGTCTTGTGTACTGCAATCGAGAATTTCTTTAGAGATGTCTCCTTTGGGTTTACATAGCGTAGTATTTTATCTATATTTGGTTGAGAATTTTTAATCCGATGTTATTTTAATTTCTATATAGAACCTTTTTTATGTGTACTGTATTAATGCAAACCTCCAACAATTATTCTTTACCTAAAATATATTTTCATTTATAAGTTGCCTCATAACGAATGATCGAAAATATTTACCATTTCAAATTCCTATTTTTACAGCCGCATCATTACTGTCTGCAATGGATACTGCAGCTGATCCATGTCAAAACTTTTTTCAATACGCTTGTGGTACTTGGAATAAGAAACATATAATACCAGAAGATCGAAGTTCTATAAGTACTTTTGAGGTTGTACCGCAAGTCTTTTAATAATACTTCAAACTAATCATTTTGTTTTATGTCTAGGTGCTAGCCGATCAGCAACAAGTAATTCTGAAAGGCGTCTTAGAAGAAAGTATAAACGAAGAAGATAATAAGGCAACGATTAAAGCTAAAATGTTTTATAAAAGCTGTATGGATATTCGTAAGTACCATTATGAAGTAGTTAACCTCTGATTTATGTTTTAATTTATTAAGTATGTTATATATTTTTGGTTATGGGTAAAAAGTATCTGAAATTTATAATTTAAAAAACATGACACAATTATTTTTCTACTATATAAGTTGGTGAAACCATTTTGTGTTAAAATTAAACATTTCACAGAGTGTGTTTAGATCAGTTGATTTGTAATTTTACTTTCGGGTGTTCTGCGATGGCACAAAACCATCGTAGTGCGTGTTTTTGCCAAAAAAAAAAATTAACGAATGCAATGGATTACATGTCATTCTTACCTGACATAATCCCGTGCAACATGATTTTTTTCTTTTTTTGAAGTTAAAATTACCGTTTTGAGGAAAGTGATTGGACTAGATTGCAGTCATAAAAACAAAATGGATGAATTAGTTGAAAGACTTATCTCTATCCGGCTAAGAAAAATTAACGGAGAATGGAATAAAACACTTCTATAGATATTTTATATTCAATAGCGCATACTTTCAAGGCGATTTTATTTGATTTATTATTTTTTTGTTCCGGATACTTTTTATACAGAATTTACATATATGAATAAATATATTGTGGTTTTACAAATTTTGAATTTCGAGTTGTATTTAAATAAACCTTAAATTCTAGCCCAAATACGTAAAATTGGTGAAGGTCGCTTAAAAGATGTTTTAAAATCACTAGGTGGTTGGCCGGTTATCGAAAAAAATTGGCAACCACCAAATATGACAATAGAACAACTAATGGGTTACTTGCGTGGCAACTACAGTGAAGGCGTACTGATAGAACTATATGTCGGTGCAGACGATAAGAATTCATCTGTGAATATACTTCAAATTGATCAATTGCCTCTCGCCTTACCTTCTAGAGATTATTATCTCAAGTCAAGCAGTGAAAATGATTTAAAAGCATATCACAAATATATGACACAGACAGCAATCCTTTTGGGTGCTGATCCTGAAACTGCAACACAAGAATTAAATGAAGTAGTGCAGTTTGAAATTAATTTGGTTAATGCATCACTGCCAGAAGCAGATCGCCATGATACTAGCGCCATTTATAAAAAAATTACTTTATCGGAGTTACAAGAGCAAGTACCAGAAATAGATTGGACTGAATACTTGCAAACAGCGTTAGGTCAAGAAATACAACTACAGCCAAATGAAGAGCTTGTGAGTTATGCTATGCCATATCTTATAGATATGGGCAAGATCTTGAAAAATGCCGACCGTCGTGTTGTCCACAATTATGTTCTGTGGCGTTTAATTATGTCCATAACGACGCATATGATTGATGAATACCAACGCGAACGTGTAGAGTTTAGAAAAATTCTACTCGGAATACAGTCGGAACGTATGCGTTGGTCACAGTGTGTCGAGTGGACGAATAAGAAACTGGGCATGGCTGTTGGTGCGCTTTTCATACGTGATAATTTTAATCAAGATAGTAAGGATACAGCCTTAGAGATGATACACACTATTCGGGAGGCTTTTAATGAATTATTAGCAGAAAATCATTGGATGGATGATGAAACCAGAGCCGTAGCTAAAGAGAAAGCCGACACAATGAATGAACGCATTGGATATCCAGAAATATTGACTAATGCCACCGAATTGGAGAAGGAATATATTAATGTGAGTAGAAGTTGAAGAAATTAGAGTGACAGAATTTTAAGGATAAAATTTAATAAATTTCGTAGCTCACCATTATTCCCGACAATTTTATGGAAAACGTTTTAAATATTCTAAAATGGGATTCTGAAAAAAATTTACAACTTCTGCGTATGCCAGTTGATAAGGAGAAGTGGACTACAGAGCCAGCTGTTGTGAATGCTTTCTACAATCCCAATAAAAACGATATTGGTAAGTTTAACTAAATGAGAGTCACTATCAATTTTAATCACTTGAAAATTTATGATTTTTTTAATATATTTTTTAAAGTTTTTCCTGCTGGTATATTACAACCTTTGTTCTATAGCCAAAATTTCCCTAAATCACTAAATTATGGTGGAATAGGTGTAGTTATAGGACACGAGATCACACATGGATTCGATGACAAAGGTAAATTTATAAATATTTTGTGAAGTTTTATATTATTGATAAGTTTATATCTATTTTTAAGGTCGCCAGTTTGATAAAGATGGTAATATGATGCAATGGTGGAATAATGCTACAATTGAAGCATTTCGTGAGCGTACGCAATGCATTATAGACCAGTATTCGAAGTATAAAATTGATGAGGTCGGCATGTATATGAATGGGCGCATGACCCAAGGGGAAAATATAGCAGATAATGGTGGTTTGAAACAGGCGTTTAGGGTATGTACCTATATAAAGCTTTCCATACACTCTTTTTATTCGTCTTTTTTTAGGCTTATAAAAAATGGGTAAAACGTCATGGTCCAGAACAAGAGCTGCCTGGTCTTAATCTGTCACATGATCAATTGTTCTTCTTAAATTATGCACAAATATGGTGTGGTTCTATGCGTCCCGAAGATGCATTAACTAAAATACGGTCATCTGTGCATTCACCCGGTTTTATCCGCGTACTTGGACCTTTGTCCAATTCGAAAGACTTCGCCAAAGCATATCAATGTAAGCTGGATTCACCGATGAATCCAAAAGAAAAATGCAGTGTATGGTAAAAAGTTCGCTAATATCTTATAAAAGAAAGGACTTCTTTTTACGATTATATATGTTTATTTTAGTTAAGTGTCTAGTATATAATATCATTTTTATATGTACGAGTTCGTTAATTTTAATTATTTCTATAATTACTGTTAATCTATTTGCTATTTACACAAAATATATAGATAAATACATATACACCCGAATCCCACAATTATATATTTCCCTTATATTGAATATTAATATACATTTTCAATATTATGTATGTATATGTGTAAACTATATCAAATAAATAAAGCATAATGGCTTAACTGTTAATCTAAAGAATATTGATGTTTACTGATTTCATGTTCAAACTAAATATTTACGAAATGGAGAGGATTATATTTCAATAAATTGAGTCCTTAGCATTTGCTTCGATTATTGAACCACTGCAGTATTTTTTAGGCAAAAATAATGGTGATTCACTACGTATCAAAATAAGTTCTAGACAACAGTGTAATCTTCCATAAAAATACCGTAATCTTCTTGAACAATTAAGCTGCTATCAAGTCTCTAGCTTCTTAAGAAGCTGGTTAAGCGTCTTGGAATCCAGCTTACATAGGTACCTGGACACAGAGCACCTACAGGGCAATTGCGTTTGCCAAGGCAGGCACTCTGCTCCCTGGCTTTCATTTGGATATTGGTATCGTACTTGTAAAGGTCAGGGTGGCAATAAAACAAAAATATCTGAGCATAGCTAAAGATATTTGGGCAGATGAAAGTTGTGAAACCCAGATTTCACCAACAACGCTTAACAAAACAACGCAACAAATGCAATAAAATAATATAGTATACTGCAACAGGAACGGAAAGGCAAGTTGCAGAGAAATAAATATTGGTACTACAAAATGAGCGCTGAATAAAAGAGTAGCTGAGCACATCTCCGACTTTAGCAAAAATAATCAAAACACAGCTCTTTCTGAACATTATTCGAATGAACATTATAAACCAGATTTTGAAAATATAATAATACTTGGCAAAGAGAAATCATAAGCTAAGCGTTTTACTCTTATTAGCCTATTAGTATTCAAGAGAAAATTAACCGGACAATAAACATCAAGTCAGACACAGATGACAACAGCGGAAACTACTTGGTCCCTCTGAAATAAATAGTAAGACAAGTTGGCGGCAATTTTATATTGTTTGTTTTAATTTGCAATAATTGTCAATTGAAAATCAATTATTAATAAAAATTGACTCTTTATTGCCAAAGATTTGCATTGTTTATTAAATAATTTTTTTAATATAAAAAATGGAATAGTTTATAGTCTTCTCAGGTTAGTGCACTTTCACTTGAATGGGTGAGTCGTGCTTTTTAGGTTTTAGATATGGATTGAGTTTTAAATGTTTTTCTACAAAAACCCAATTTTTTTCTAAAAGTAATATATGCTGACCAAGAACGAACAAAATGACGAACAGTAACAAATACATATCTATTGCAACTTTACCCAACTATTATTCATTTGTTATCCCAAACAATCTCTCTTCCAAACTTTGCTAATCCATATTCTAACTAATGTATTTGTATTTTCTTTGATGTCTCCTGCTTTATAAAATTGTTCGGGCTACAAGAAAAATAACGTAGAGAAACGAGTAATACATTAAGAGGAAAGGACTGAGGTTGAGAGAGAATCAATATATTATTTCAATAGACAATTACAACTATTACATTACATATAAACAAACTATATAAAAAATTATTTATTATATTATATAAAAATTTAATATATATGATATATTTTAAAGCAATAAAGAAATGGACCCAAGTTAGTATTCAATTAAATGCAACCTACCGAATTCACCCCTTATCCTCATTCCCCCTCTTAATCACCCTCAATCACTCCCCATCCATTTCCCCATGCATGTAATCATCTTGTATATCCTTTCATGTTATCTGTTTACAGGTCCCAGTGGGTTACAACAGCAGCGACACCGGGACGTAATTCCGGTTGTTCTTGGAACCACTATAGTCTATAGTCATCTTTAGGGTACTGATACAAAAATTTAACTATTAAATCATTTTTAAGTATTAGGAGTGTATATTGTATATTTATTTGAGCAATTTTGTTTGTTACAAGTAGACATACATAACATAATATTACAATTGATTACAATTAATAATACAAAATTCTTCTATACATTTATCTATATATAAAATTATTTATTAAAAACATTGAATTAACACAACGCAAAAAATACTTGAGTCACAGTGCATCATAACCAATTACATAAAATCTTATTAAAATACTTTTACATACATACAGTATATTCAAGCATATTACATATTATACATTATTTTATCACACAAATCCATAGGTACATAGCTCGTATATTAATATATATAATTATAGATATAGTTAAGAATTTTTTAATTATTTCTTTGAGATCCTAAAACACTGTTTCCTGCTATGTGCGCATATTTCTAGTTCCTCTACTACTGCGGCTTGGATTTTTTGACCAATTCTGCTCATCAGCACTAGCAAATATTAAATATATAAAATTCCCACCAATATTAAGGCCAGCAGCTAACCAAAATACAATACGCCATTGCGTTAAGGTTTCACGGTGATTTATAATAAGTCCAATTACATAAGGCGATAGAAATCCGCATATATTGGCAGCAGAATTTGTGATGCCATACATCGTGCCAGCAAAACGTGGACTTAACGAAATATGATTCATTTGATTTCCAGCATATACAGCACCACCGAAAGAACCTACGCCTGCCAACATAATTGTTACCCATATCCAACTGCAGCCAACATAACCTACGCCAAGTAGACCCAACGATGGTATAATCGATGCAATTGAATTCCATAATTTATAGGAGTTTAAAAGGGATATATAACGACGCTTAAGCATCCAATCAGCTATAGCAGAACATGCAATACCTACAATCCATGCAGTTAAATAGGGTATAGCATTTAACATTGCATTTGACTCTATATCAAAATGTAATATATTACTCATATATGTGGGCAGTTCTGTTAGTTGGGTGTAAAAAGCCCATGATTGACCACATTGTGTTATCAGTATAGCCCAAAGTGGTATTGAACATAAAATAGATCGCCATGGTATATCCTCGTCAGGGTTTTGAAATAAATTTGCATCATTTTCATTATGTGATTTTCTTGGTTGCATTGCTCTTATGGAACGTTCTATGTATTCTCGTTCTCTGTACGAAATACGTGGATGTACGCTTGGCGTATCATAAACTAATAACATCCAAAATATGAACCATATAATACCCATTATGCCAAATATATAAAATGCGGATGGCCAACCGCCTAAAAAATCTAGTGAGCATAGCCAACCTGCAAGTGGCATTGATATTACCGTTCCTATATTAGAACCAGCATAAACTATTGCAGCAAATTTATTTCTTTCTAACGGTGGTATCCAGTGAGCGAGCATTGCATGCATAGCGGGATAGGTAACACCTTCACCCATGCCTTCCAGTATACGTACTACTATAAGAAATGGTAAGTCTAACTTTGCTGCAATTGGTGTTAGTAATGTAAAAATAGCAGTAATAAGCACTCCATAACCATAAATACGTTTACCACCCATTACCTCAGCTAAACGACCACCTGGTACTTGTGTCAAAACATAGCCATAAAAGAATGAACCTAAAACTAAACCTTGTGTAGCTTCATCCCATAAAAATTCTCCTTTTGTAATGGGTTTTGCATAAGTAACTTTTGGTTTGTCTGCTGGACAAGTGTCATCAATTGATGTGTTCTCATGTGGAATTGCTGTTTGATTAACCATAGCCACAATGGCTACAGAAAGATTAACACGCATTGCATAGACAACTGCAAAACCCAAAAATCCCATTAGGCCAAATATGTGTCGCGCTTTAGGAAACAGACTGTCATCTGCAATTTCACAATTAAAATCCCAGTAACAAAAAAAAAGTGGATTTTATAAAATGTTTACACAATACCTTCAGCACCATTAATAAGAGGCGTATCAGCGTTACTTATTGTCTCGTCGTCCTCCTCGTCAGTATCCAGTTTTCGATCGAAAACGATGTCGTCGTCATCACAGATTGTAGCCTCGTAACTGTTTACCACATCAGCAGAATTATACTGATTTTCACTCAACATATTGTTAACAAGAAATTCTTTCTAATATCATGTCAGACACACTTTACAAAAATTAGTCACTGATCAGTGAACTTAAAATTATTTTTTACGCAAAAACCAGCAAACCAGTGTTTTTAAAACGAATATATAATAAAAAATCAAAAGGGAAAGGTAGCAAACAACGAAAAAGTCAAAGCCAAAACCAAAACTAAATCCAACGTTTCTACGTAAATGGAAACAATTGCTTGAGGGAGAAGAGCTAACTAGAGCAAAGAGAAATTGCAGTCACGAATATGAAGTTCAAAACAAAAGTGTAAAACTCTACAAAAGGTTACGATAAGAAGTGTTTTTGTTATTCCGTTTATCTTTATGGTTTACTTCAGCTGTAAACATAATAAAACAAAAAAAAAAAGTATTTACAATATATATCAAAATTTTTATTGCACTTGAACCTGTTTTTATGAAAAATTTAAAAGTTTAAACACGTGTAAGTAAATGCATTTTTTACACACAGAAATATATTTAATTTGCAAAAATTGTTCCAATAGGAAAAACAACACTTTTTTGTATTCCACTTATTGGCAAAGTTTCATAGTGATAAGAATTGTCAATGGCTACATAACTACGACCAGCTTTAATGTGATCTTTTAGAACATCTAATGGCACTAAATTACAATTAATGAAATAGTTACCACATTTCAGAGCTGCTACCAATTCATAAGCGCAAGAATGATTCTCATGCCATAAGGAGGCATTTTTAAAATTTACAGTTTCTTTAGCACAAAGTGCAATGGCTTCTTTAGCTGTACGGAACGTGTGCAAAGTGACGATACCGGTTGGGCCTACAGCGCTCAGCTGCTCGTGTGTAAAGTCTAATACAATTGTGGGTGATTGATTGCGTTCAACTCCATTAGCATTAATAGTCTTTGCATTAAGTTTTTCTATCGTTTGGAGAGCAGCTACAAAGCCAGGATGTTGTGGAACTTCATTTGTGTAAGCTTTTAAATTATTTTGTGCAATTGCAATAAATTCCGTTTGCACAGATTCCTGAACCAGCACAGTTACAACAGCGTTTGCTTCAAAAGGTGCCTCCAGTGATTTGGATAAATGATAGGCGGCAGCATTTAAATCAGCTCCAGCAAAAATAATTAACACTGTTGGCGTAGTTATCGGTTGATTGGCACAAGTATTCTATTTATGGTCGCAGAGTATGATAAGAGGTTAGTCAATGTCAAGGTTAACTTTATTTTTTATATATTCATATATTACCTTAGTTTGTAATGTCATCTCTTGAGTATCATATGCTAGCTTATCAAAAGACTCTTTACTTATTTTCAATTGTGGCATACCACAATCACAACTTGATTCTTTCTCTATCAGCGCCATCGCCAATTGAATTTTGGTGTGGCAAACTCTACACCGAAGAGTTATGTGCTCTACACTATCAATAAGCGCAACAGGTTTGATTTTAAAGCATAGATAACACAGTTTTTTTATAGGGTGTGTTCATATTACACATTCCTAATAATTGACAGGATATACAACACGAACTAATGAAATTTTATAACAGTTTATTATAACAGTTTTACATATTTTAAACAAATTTCTAAATATGCAAAATTTTGATGGTTACAATATAATTTAAAATATTTTAGTATTTAATAAATTTTGAGTTTTAGCTCAAAAATTATATTAGAGAAGTGTATATTCCGCAGTTAATGATTTTCATTTGACATTAATTTCAATGTATATAGAAACAATTATATACATAAAATTCATAACTTTGGTATAATATATTGGTTCAGTCATTGTAGTAAATTATTTAAGTACTCAATTATTATTACAAAAACGAAACAAAATTTTTAGGGTTATTAATTATACAACTGTTTTAACTTTAAATTTTAGTGAAAGTTGGTGTGACGTCAAGTTTTTTTTATGGATTATGAATTTTATGGTTTAAATCTATGATATACCTGTAAGTTGAATTAATAAAAAGATTATAATACAATAATTTAATATTAGAATTTAGTTGTTAATTAAAACTATTATTAATAGTCTAAAAACATTTCATATCATCTTTTGGTCATATAGTTTATCATAATAAATGCTTAATCCATATAAATCGCATTATCAAAATATATGCATTTGTAGTAACTTCACCGAAATAAATAAATTATCTATATATTAAATACATTCGTAGTATGGCATTTATATTCGTCTTAAATGACTGATTTGGGTCAAAAATCACAAATGAGAAGCAAATGACGGATTTCTGCATACAAAATCTCATATGCGCAAATGAAATCCACATTAGCGCAATGGATCTTATTTTATATAAATGAGTTTCAACGAGTTTCAATTGAGCTCCAAATGTAAATGAATCCATTGAACATATCGTAAATAAAAGTTTTGATGGCATTTTCACAGTTTGAGAAGGATGTTTTTGATATATTTACCAAAAAAGTTAAATATTTGGTGGTTTCATTTCCTTGGAAACGATGCATCTGTTTTTGGAACTTCTACTTCCCAAAAAGTACGTTATTCAAAAATAAGTTTTCTGTTTATATTATAAGGTTTGAAGGTATATTTTACCTTCATCCAACATATTTTTGACACAGCCCAAAAATCAAATCTACAGACACATTGACAAACCAGCTGTTTGAAATGAGAACAAATGAATAACAACGAATGTAAACACTTTCATATGACTAATTTGAAATGAGTCACTTGCGGTCAGAGTAAAGGTCATATAATAAGGTTAATGTGATAGATTTTCTGAAAATTGCAAATCACAACCAGTTTTATATTGTTTAAACACATTTACACAATAAGAAGTAAACAAAACACTGCTGATTTGAGGAACAGAGGATATAATACAATAAATTTAAATATATTAAATGATATGGCCACATATACCTATACCTATTACCTTTTTTTGAGAGCAACAGTTTTACTATCAACTAATTTATTACATTTCGCGCAATAAAAGAGTAATTGAGTTAATTGTTTACTTTATATAATTACTATATTAATTTCTAAAAGTTATTTGCTTACTTTATGTATTTCAATACATAAAATCTTAAATTTAAAACTAAATATTTTGGATAACGCAAAATATAGTTTGTATAATGTATTCTAAAAGTTTATATGCATGATAAAATTATTTGTGAGTTTTTATGATTTATTATGATTTTTATATATTATGTTTTCACTTGAACATAAAATTTGTAATTATAAAAATCATAATTATTATTGTTATAAGTGAAATAAATAAAGAAATACACAAATAGAATAAATGTTAATAATAAATTTCGTTTTGCATAGTACAAAAATATTTTGTGTAATTACACAAAATTCATATGTTTGTCAATATTCAGTAAATGCAACTCTGTTACCTTATCAAAGTGCTCTAAGAGAAATTCTCCAAACTCTTCATATTTGGTGTGATTACGACACCTCCAGTGGGGTTGTTGTTTTGATTTGATGGGGTTTAATGTAACAGAATTAATTTTAACTTTGTCGGAGTAAGTTCCGTTGCGTTGCGTTTAAATTTTTGCACTTTCATATAAATTTACTCAATTTTAAATTTGTTAGAAAACCAACAAGTGCTTCAGCGGTGTGTTTGTGTTTATTTAAATAAATTAAATCTACAGAATTTTTTGTGAAAATTGTCTTGCGAATGTGGAACATTTAAAAATATTTGCTGAAAATAAAGTAGCCAGCTGTCACGCAAAAAGCAAACAAAAAAAAGTTAAAAAGCATAAATATTAAAATATACGCACAGCATATACGCAAGAATTACAGTTCATTTGTGAAAAGTAAAATAATTGCAAAAAAGTAAAATGACCGATATAAACGAAATGTTGGGTTCGGCCTTTGTGCGCGTCAAGGTAATTCATTAATATTAAATGTCATCATCTGTTTGTTAACTGACCCCCCCTGAAATCTTTTGAAATCGCTGCTGGGGGGATTGTGGTTCGTGCAGCTAGTTTCAGTGAATATTAAATGCAATTAGAATATTCTTCAAAAGCATCACTGATTGATTCGTAGGGGGGCTGGCAATTAATTTTTCTTTAATTCAATATGGAACAACGCAGCTTCGAACGAGAATGTGACGCCCATTTAAATGTTATCAGGTTTCAATTTTTTTATTTTTAATGTATTTAAGTTGTTGATAAAAAAAATATAAATTAGTCATAATATAGTGCAGATTTCATAATAAATTTTTAAATTTGCTATCTCATCAAAAGCTGTTTATTCATATTTAAAACTAGAATTCCGAAGAAACCTAAACTGTAATGTTTTAACTCCTAACCGCTGCACAGTGAAGCGCTACATAATCCCCAACCGCAACATCAATATTTGATATGTCTACCAATTCTAATCAGGCATTGCCTCCCCTTAAGCTTCTTATTACTATATTACTAACGACGAGCTGAACTTATGCGGCTTCACTTCATTTTCTGGTTTTGATCTTCCTTGCATAAATCATAAGCTACACACATTGTTTCGTCGCCATTTAAGTTCGCTAAAGCGTTTGTTGTAACTCTAGAACCTATCGCGAATTTAAAGTACGCATAGTTATCTATGGGAACTGCGCTTCAGGTGATTCATAAAATATTTAAATAAACAAAAAAAATATTTATTGCAATTTTGTTGGTTTCTGATTACGAGTAATACACTCGTATAATTGAACTTTATTGATAAAATTGATTTAAGTGAAAGTGATTATCATAATTGTGGGCAACATTTTTATTGCAGTGATAAAACATGATAGTTTGGTATATAGAATTATCTTTTATTTTATTGTTTATACGCTATGCACATTTCAAAAGGCATTCCTAACTCATAACTGTTTATATGAATTAAGTTGTAGCTGCGGTCCATATTTTTTAAAACTACCAAAATTGTTGTTTTCAAATCTACCAAAATAAGATTTCTTATTTTCTTACTCACATGCACAAAAGATCCACTATGGTTGTAGTGCTCCGCTCTGTTGGGAGTTGAAACCCTGTTTATTTCTATTCTACTTACATAATTCTTACAAGCAGAAAATGGTAGTAAAAATATTGTGTGAATGCCAATTTAAACTAGATCCCGGGATCACGATCAAATTTTGTCTTCTAATAGACTATTATACTATAGATTGGTTTCAAATTTTATTAAACTTAATGTTTTCTCTAACTTATAATATTATAAAACCACATATTAACACTTTTAGTTCACTAAAAATAAAGCATTCTTTGCATATCTATGAAAATCAATATGTCAACTATATTTTATTCATTCCGATTATCTTGACACGCCAACATGACAACTGAATCTGTGTTTTTCAAGACCTACATTTTATAATGTCGTTTATATTTAAGACAGCTTGCTTAAGCTTTATTTCACTTGTATTGTGGTTCTGTCCAATGAATGGAAATTTATTTTTTTTATTTATTTATTTTTATTCATTTATTATAGATATTTATTCGTTTATGCTTGACATAAAAAGCAGTTAAATATCTCATAACAACACCCAATTTTACCACGGTTCACAAAAGTCGAAGTCCAATTAACCTATTGAGGTAGTAACGCTCTTTCACCGTGATACAGTTGTAGGTGTTCGATTGGTTATAGATGCTAACATGCACTCCATGAAAAATTACTATTTTTATGTGCTCAAAAAGCAGTGATCATAAAAGTCGAAGTCCAATGGAAGTAGTAAGGCTCTTTTACCTTTCTGTCTTTACAGACATATAAAATTTATTACTTTATATTCAAAAAGCAGTTAAATATATTATAGGGATACCAAATTTTCGCACCGCTCACAAATGTTCAAGTCCAATAAACCTATTAAGGTAATAAGTCCCCTTCACCGTGAGGGTTTTGCTACTGAGAGTCTATTTTCTGTGGTGGGTAGAGATGTTAGATTGATTTGACGCTAGCATACAGTCCGTAAAAAATTACCATCAATAATCTATGTTCAATATTTTATTTATACAAACATAATAAATTAGTAGATTTAATATGTATTAGTATTCACTTACTTCACTATTTGTGTAGATTCACTTACTTCACTATTTGTGTAGATTCTTATTTATTGGTAGTAATAAACGAACACTGGCTGCACTGATCGGTACTATATTTGTTTGGTTACTATTCAGTAATTATTCATATGAAAAAAAAACCAACTGCTTGCTATAATGGTTGAGAAGAAGAATACACAACTGATATAATAATTGCTTTTATACCTCGTTGTAGTTATTATACTCATTTTAAACTTCAAACATTCACTAATTTTAAATTTATTCGTTTCTTTGCATTACAAATCTTATTCAAAATAAAATATATAACAACAATTTCTGTGTTGCATTATAGGTAAAACAGAAGCATGGTGATATTATCCAGCAAATTGGTTGGCTATATTATTTGATTTTAAATTGTTATATTTTTGTTGTTTTTTCTACAAATTACTAGAAACTCTTTCGATTTTTGATTAACATACCTATTCGAAATACTTGAATATTTTATTGTAAATACATTTCCGAATGCTTTAAATTGATAGATTGAAATTCTCAGCATAGTACAATCATTGCTATTGTAAACAAACTACAAGTATTTATTTATGACGTCATGTATTTAATTTAAAATTGCATAAATTTTAATTATATAAAAATGATCTAACACTCTCGTCTATCAAATGTTAAAGTACAGTCGTTTACTGTATTTAGTTTCCAACTGATTTTATTTAATTTAAATTATCTATTTATTGAAAATTATCTATCTATTTATTTTCAAATAAGAAAGTAAATTTATAGTTTGTGACCTATTTAATATTTTAAAAATATAAGTGCATTATCGATATTTGAAGTCGCATTATGGTCTTTGCTCTTACCTATATCAGTTTTAGATTATACGTACTATAAATAAGCTAAAATTTCAACACCTACGCTTTCATATACAAAAAATTAAATCCACCTGCTTTTTAGAATGTATCTCAACGGGATGTGAGAGATAAGATAAGACATATAAATATAATATATTTAAAAAATATTTGATTAAATATATATTTAATTAAATATGACAGTATACCAGTGTAGACTATAAGCAAAATATTCAGATTAAAAAATTTGTTTCAAATAATTATTATTAACAAAAAAAGCCAAACTTATAAAAACTGGTTTTATATATTTTTTATAAAAAATAATTAAATATATTATTAAGATTCATACTCTACTTTGTTTGGTAGAGACAAGTTACCATAAAAAGTATTTGTTGGACAAAGCTATTTTGTGAATTAAAACTAAAATTAAAAAGCAGGTGGTGAGGGTTATTAAAGTTTTTTGTTACTTTTTGTAAATTATTTCAAAAACACAAGAAAAGCTACAGAATTTTTATAACAAAATATCTAGCATAAATATTTACAGTCTGATTACACGAGATTTTCTTTGCGCAATGCGTAGATAAGCACTACTCGAACATTATTTCTGAATAAGTGATTTTAAAAATATACAAAAATAAAACATATACAGTATTTCAACAGTAGTTCCTTTTGTTTTTTATTTGCAATCTACAAATGAACAATGATGAGCAAATGCTATAGACAGTGATCATATAAGAACTACATATACAGCTGTATTTTTAATATTTCTTAATAAACTGATTGTGGCACAATGTTGCACCATACTGTGTAAACTACTAATCGTTCAAGTCGAACTCGTCTACTTCAGGTTTTCTAAATTGCCAAATCTGTACCATTTTCGTCTTGAACGTTTTCACCTTTTGGAAAGATATTGGTACCGGATTTTGCAAAACATATTAAATATTTTACCAGTCCTTGTAGAACACATTAAATATTTTTACAAACTACAAAACATTATGGATTAAGAAATCATTATCTAATTTATATCAAAAAAATCTGATTATATATCTGTAGTGTTCTCCATTGGCAGTAACTACAATTCTATTTTTCTTTTCGAAAGATATACACTCTAATTACACTTCAACACTGTTTATTTTTGTGGATACGTTTTATGAATAACATGAACGTTTTAGTTTTAAACGTGACTTATCAAACCATTTTCTACTTACCAAACCATTTAATCGTTTGACAACCTTCAATTCTCCCATTCAAGTATCTGTCAAGTCTATAAACTTGTGGTCACATAAACCATTAGTAAAAACTTTCTTCATTATTATGAAATGCTTATAATTAAAACGGAAAATCTACCTATAATCTAAATTTTTTAAGAATCTTTTAAGTTATTTCAATTCTAGCATATTAGATATTTAAAGAACCACTTGATCGATGAGGTATTTTTCACTGTACTTATTTATCTTCTCATTAAAACAATAACATTTATTATTGCATCTCACTCGAAGTTAGTTGATTCTTATAATGGGCAATCTCTTAGTAATTTCCATTATAAGCTCAGATAAACTGAAACAGTGTCAGCTTTCCTAATTTACCTTCAACATGTTGGTAAAATAAAAAAGTGTTCTTGTTTTTTAATACCTAATCGCTGGTCTTTTAAAGTAAATTGTCTCCATGTCGTTTTAGGGCGACATGTAGTTTTTATTTCGTACTGTAGAAGTTGTTGAAGATATTGACAAAATCTTTTGAAATTTTGGGTAATGTATGGTCAATTTAGCAATAGTTCCGTCTCCGATTCCGATGTTAACATTAGACATATCTGTTTCTAACGTATAACTTTTTAGTTAAAAGTGTGATTCAGATTTGTAGATTTATAGAATCATATGAAGGTAACAAACCATTTCTTGCAGCCTTAGTGATTATTCACAAGATGCATTTTTTAGGAAAGGAGATTTTGATGAGAATGTAACTTGGCTGGATTTAACGAAATTTTTTTATTTTGAGGTAAACATCTAATAAGTCTAGTGTAATTTGTACTTTGTTAGTGGTTTTTGTTGTTATTATTTTAAGATAGTAATAGGTGAAAAATTTGCTTATAGATTTATATGGATGCTAAAAAACATAGGTAAGCAAAACATTTTACATTTTCTCTTACTAATTTACAATCACTTGTAAATTACAATAGCACTGTTTTACGGTTCCTTATTTATTCCTAAATCTAAACTGATGTTCCGGTGTGGTTAAAACAGTAATGATTATTTAATTATTTATTAAGTTTTTGTTTTTATCCTGATAATGATTGTGTTTAACGCATTCTTTAATTGTATCGAACTATTTAAATTATAGTCTTCTCAGCATATTGACATGCAGACCATATAATTTTTACAAAGTCAAAAGTGAATAAGTAGATATGTGTGTGGATTTGCTATTTTACTACTTATGGTAGTTCATTGAACTTGCATGCAAGTTAGCACTATACTCACCAAGTAGTTACTGATTCCAATTTTCTAGAGTTCTGGAAGAAGAGACTGCTCTGCTGTTTAAATTGCTTGATAAGATAATTTTTATATTTTCCAACTATTAGATTTTTTTGTATATAATTTGTCAAAAATAAGCATAAGTAGTTCAATATTGTTTTATATAATTTTCTGAATATTTAATTTATAAATAACTTGCATGTTCTTTTGAAAAAAATTTTGAGACCTAAGCTAAAATTATTTATACTCGTATAAGTAACAAATTATTTTGATAAAGTTTAGTATAATACGGCAAACCATTCGTTTTAATATATTAGATAGCATTGTATATAAAATATATACAATTTGGTGTTCGATATTCTGGATATATCATCCTTTGTGTGATACTAAGAGATGATGCTAAATAAATTCAATACCTTTTTGTAGAAGGACTTGTATTTCCTTTCAATATAACTTTAAGCATTTCAAAGTTAGTCGCCGTGAACTACATCTAGAGAGTACGACTGGTGGTGAAGTATCATTTCTTTAATTTAATCATTCCTTTCATGAAGTTTTAAAGTAGTTAAAGTAGTGATTTGTTTTTTTTTATTTGGTCCATTGTAAGTATACGCGGCGCCCATTTTGAATACAACTCAAGCATGCTAAAATTTTAGTGTAAAATTGTAAAAACATTACCTTCTGATATCTTACACGTATCTTACGCAACTTCATTCTCCAGTTTTTTAAAACTATTTTATTTTAAATATTTAAAACTATTGATAATCTATTTTCATTTTCGCTTTAGCTTAAATTCAAGAATTATATATAGCGCATTTTAAATAAATATACTTCGGCAATATAAGATAACACAAGTTCACTAATGAATTTCATATGAAGACTAATATATCAGAGTAATATTTTTTATTAACATGAGGATAGTGTCATCAATTACAATGTATAATATATATATATATGTGCGCTTATAAAAAATTTACTCTATTGAAAGAAGCTTCATTGTAAAAATTGTAAAATTGAAATAATTTGTTGAGAGAAAATGATTTTTTTTTAATTAAATTATTTTATTGGATGTGTGAATTAGTTTTACAAAATAAAACTTAATTTTTCTGTTAAAAAAAATAAATGTTGTTATTTAAAATATTTCTCAACAAAGCTACAAATTTTATTCACCTCTCAAACGTTGACTACGGTGTCAAAAGAATTTCTAAATGATAAACTGTTCAACCAATATCTGACGAATACGGGAATCTTCATACGCCCAATAACTCCATTTTGTATTTTCAAAAAATTTTTAACAGATATGGTAATATATAGTCTAACATTTCTCTGGTGAAGGGTAATTTTGCATGTTTGATTTTCTAATCCAGTTGATTTTTCATCAGGGCACTATTGAAAAATATAAGTTGTTTTCGTTAGGAGTGATAATATTATCTTCTTTCAGCTGTTCGTGGTTAGTTTAACTTCGATACTTAAAATGTCCATCTTAATTACTTATTTTTGACATTGAGACTACATAGGACTCACTAAAAAAAGTATAGGGAATTCTAATCACACCAAATGAAAAGGATTACTCTCTCTATTGATCTGAATATTTCGTTTTGGTGCAGACAGGACTTATTCACCACATTAGGCTGGTCACCACTAGGTTATGCTTTGAGTTATCATAATTCCGAGTAATTATGTGTTTCTAAAAGTGTTTGTTTATCTTTCAAGTAACAATTTATAAATAGTTTTTTATTATTCACCATTTATAGTTTTTAATTGATTAAAATAATAAATTTTTCATTTGTGTGCCACTTGTAATTCATGTATTCATTTAAAAATAGTAGTCTTGTTTGAGATGGATTGTTCTTTAATGAGTTTTACTCTTTGGCGTCTTTTCCAGACTTTCAAAACTCTCACAAGTGTGTTAGTTGTCTTCCATATTAAAATCACGCCTTTTGAAGTTCTGAAATAATTTCTTTAAATGACGAAATGATTTTGTGGTACTCTACCTAAAAATAAATTATTACCTCCTGACCGATCCCAGTTAATCAATAGTTGTTAAACTGCTACGATTCTTTTCGCTCTAAATATCTCTACTACAATAAATCCTTTCGCATTAAAGATTTTTTTAGAGGTAAACATTTAAATTAATTATAAAGTAAAGAAGAAAGGTGTTTAGTTTACCAGAAAGCTGTCTAACATATTGTTAGCGTTGCCAGATTATAGAACTATGGCTTAAAGTTAAAAACTGGAAATTAGTAAACACATCTAATATATAATGAATAATAATTAAAGAAAAATTAAAAACTGATTAAAGAGCAAAATGGATATTTCATACTTTATACAATACTAACATATATAAAACAATTAATGTTTTTTTTCTTCTGACTTTTCTTAGGTCGTTGCCTTTGTGCATTTTTTCTTCGTAACAAATGCCATGCTTGGTTCCTGGGGACACGGTGCGTATGAGTTTTACAATTTCCTATTTATAATTGCGATGTTCTGGAGTATGCACAGTAAAGATTCCGTGGAAGCAGTACAAACGGTAAGTATCCTTAAGTTTTTTTTTATCATTTTATGAGTTTTATTATAACATTCTTCTTGTATTCACTGAACGCATTACCTCCAGCTCAAAAAGTACACGGATTTTGTAAATAAAACACACAAATTTAAATTTTATTCCAAATTTATTTTAACTCCTTCAAAATATGCTTCTTCTGAAGCGATACACATATGCCAACGCTTAATCCAAACTTCCATACACTTTACGTAGGCCCGTGAAGGTATGGCTTTTAGTTCCTTCAGCGAAAAAGTCGCACAGATCCGGATCTGACGAATATGGTGCCTAAGCGATGACAGTTGTGTCGTGTTTGGTCAAAAAATCGTGTACAACAAGAATTTTCCATAGTAAAAATCGCTAAATGTCTCACATTAACAGCTGCTGTAAACAAACTAATTGACAGATGTACCATATGTCAAGAAAGGGTGTACCAATATAAAAAAAATTTTTTTTGAAAATGGTCTATTACTTAAGAAGTAGTTAACAAACAACAAAATCCGGATACTTTTTGAGCAGAAGGTACTTTTATTTTCTTTCAAAATCATTAAATAAGTTAAATTAATGTTAAAAAACATTATATGGTTCATTCGAATCAATTCATAGTCGATTTTGATCGTATTTTGGACCTGTTTTGTGTTTACATCAAGTTCTCACGCAGTCTTTAACCGATCTACAGAATTAGTTGTACCGTCACTTAATAATAAGCATTGTATATATATAATAAATATTTTATTATTGTTTCTACTGATTAGTAATTATTCATTTTTAATTACTTGTTACTTTTTATAATAATTAAATTTAATTATAATAAATTATATAATTATATTTTCATTATATATAAAAATTCTTTTAAGTTTAATTGTAAAAAAAAACATTTATAACATTTCAAATTTTATTTAGTATATTGAGAGCATTTTGAATCATTTTTTAATTTACAGAAACGTTTTTTCGCATTACAAAATTAAATAATGGAACTGTATCCAATTTCCCAATAATTATTACATACATAGTACTAGGCATTTTTTGTATCCGAGTGTATGTGTATAGAGTGCGGTTTATAGATTCAATTTCTTGTCCCAAGATTTCTTTTACTTATAACATTTTTTGTGAGTTCATCGGGTATTCGTATCATGTGCCCCCAGTCAGCTTATTTAGGGCTTAATGCACTATGCAATTGTTCATACATCATGGAATCCTCTATAAGAATAGGTCTTCCGTGATTTCTCATCCCAATATTCCAGTAAGCTGGTACATGCTTTGTGAGTTCTTCGTTGGTTATTCGTATTATGAGTCATCTAGTCACTTTACTTGGAACTTGCATCGTCGCATTTGTAGTCATGGACTGCTATCAAAGCTTTAAGTTAATCTTAACTATTTATTTGGAATTGGCTCAATTTTTATCAAATTTTTAATAAATTTTAAAATACTACCATGTTGACTGTTAGCTCTCAAGAGTGATCTAAAGGATATAAATTTCCGCAACTCATGTAGTACAGTGAAGCATTCATCCATTTAATTTATTCTTAGTTGCGAAAGCATCTAGCTGGTATCAATTCAAAAAAATTTTTTTAAGTTGAAATGATATTTCAAATTCATTCATTATATTTCAAAGCAAAACAAACCTTATATGATACAGTGTATCCTTTTATCATTTTTATCATTAAAATCATAGCCGCAAACCTGGGCCCACTCAGCTTATTTGATGATGACTGCGCTACATATTACCAACAAACTATCTGCTTTTAATATTAAATCTGTAAAATTTTATTAGGTCAACTGTTTTATCAATTCTCTCATAAACTATTTACACCTAATAAACTATTTCGTTTCAATAATAAACTAAATCATTTTAATGTCAGCTGTACTCAGTTATACCAATTTTAAAACGGCATAAATTCTTTCTCTTTGTCCAGAAAGTATTAAATAATGATATAATAAATGTGTAATCTTTTCCTTACCACTGTAATCTATCAGCTTCTAAAATGCCACTAATAAAGACTCCATAACATAAATAATGTCGAGATATGTCCAATATGGTCGAATTACAGACCTAAGTCGATTGAACCTCAACCAATGAGACTTTATGTTTGTATGCAGAATTATTACAATTACCAATCCTCTGTCAGTTGTTTTATTTCTGATGA